TGATTTCACAAGATGTCAGTGTTTATAAAGTCTTGAATTCTTAGTGTTGACCCATCACATGTGGTCAGTCCCACTGAGTCTCCTTTGGCAGTTTTCCACACACTGGGTCAAATGCTGAAGAACAGATTCCCCTTTCATGATTGGTAACACCTGTTCTGGGGGATTTTTCACATGAACAGAGCCAAGAACCTTCATCTAGAACTCATCTGAACTGTGGGTGAGCTGCTAGCTTATTCCCAAACTTACTTCATGGATCTCCACCTCTATAACTCCTAAAAAGCTTATGGAAAGACATTTTATCATTAGCTGCTTCTATCAATTTGTACATCAGACCTTTCTGTGGGTCACCCAAATGCAGCTCAAATCTCTTACCCTGCTCTCTTCAGACCCTCTGCTTCCAGTACATGGAATTTGCAAAGCCTCCTGCATCCTACTATTACTACATCTGTTGATTTCCCTTTGAGACACAAGTACTGTTAAGAAAGTTTTCTTTCCAGAAACATTTCTCATGCATGCTTTAAGAACGATTAATATCTTTGCTGTCAAGTTAGTCCTGTAAAACAAAGGGAGAAGAAACATAACTAAATCTTGGCCATGCTTCTACTATTTCTACTCACTTCCATCTATGCAGACAGAAGTACCAGTACCCCCACTTTTAAATCATGTAGCGCTCATTAGCCTTTGAGCTCTAAGGATGCCAGAAAAATAATGTTTCAGCAGCACAGCTCCTGCGAAGGAGAATGGCCTTCCAGATGGCCTTCTCTTCCCCAAAAAAGAAAAACCTGCTGTGAAATGCTGCTGCTGAAACAGCTTGAATATACTGATACAACCCAGGCTTAAGAAGGATTCCAGTGGTGTAAATCCATTGCTTTTAGGTTAAAATGTAAAAAAACATTTTTTTTCATGCCAAAATTGCATCTGATGTTTATGTTGGATTAAATGCAGTGGCCAAGTGAAAATCAGGCAACACTTACATACTTCCCACAAACACAGGAGGGTAGGAAGTCTGCCTCTGACCTGTTGTTTCCACAGGGCCAGGCAAACCAGATCTGCTTGTTTTAGGCCTGACCAAACACAGCTCTTCTACCATTTGAAGCTCAGTGGTGACCAGGCAAGCAGCAGACAAAGCCAGACTGTTCAAAGCTTCACCCAAACACATGCGATGCCTGATCATCAGCATATCAGGCTGGCTTTGTCACCATGCATATCTGCTTATCAGTAAACATGCCATCAGACAGATTATCCTACAATTATTAGGACAGTGGTTAATGCTGATTCTTGATGACTGTTGAAGATTGATGGCTGCTAACCATTAGTAGATATGAGTGGCAGCAGACAGTGGCACTGATCATTGCTCTCAAGAACATGCAAAAAAGATATTTATAAAGTTGGCAGATCTGAAAAGTTACCAACCAGCTTTGACAATGACCCTTATAATATTTTCCTCACAGATGAGTGAGAACTGGCTTATTATGTCCTGTAGCTTGTCTAGATCTGACCCTAGAACCAGAAAGAAAATAAAGGTTGAAGTCTTTATTTGACACTGCCTGAGGGCAGAAATAGAGCCCCCTTGCTGTCACGACTGAGACAAATGGTATGGCTCAACTTATTGGTGAAATGAAACAAAACATCCATCTGAGAGCAGCAGGCTGTAACCATAGCATGCTGCATTATAAAGTATCTACAGCCATTTAAATGAGATGAGAATCACCCAGTGCTTTAGCTGCCCCAGAGGCTCTTACACTGCTGTACTTCCCAGAGACAAAAGGACTCAGAGGCTCGGCTGCCAAGTCTGCAGGAAGGCCAACACACCCCTTGCCTATGGGGATTTCTCCTGAAAGGGATCCTGAAAAGGCAGCGTGTAGAGAGGGAGGATTGGCACGGGACAGCTGTTAGATTGCACATGACATTAGTCACTTCATGCATGCGAGGGACAAGGTACAGAAGAGTGAAGGAAGAGCTCTACGGACAAGCGCCAGGTTGGGAAAGAAATGGTTCTCCAGTGTCATGTATTAAAGGATGTTCTCAGTTTAATTCCCACTGCTGACACAGACTGTGGTAACGCACTGAGTTCAAGGCTTTCCTCTGCTGTATCTTGCACAGCTCCATGGACCGGGCTGGCCAGGCTCCCCAGAAACCTCTGCTGTATTCTGCTCTATGCAGGTAGCCAAAAGCCTGAATTAACATCTGAGTAAACCCATTAAGTTAAATAGAAGTTAAATATGTCTAGCATTGGATGATAGAACTCTCCACAACAGGGGGTTAGAACTAGATGGTCTTCAAGGTCTCTTCCAACTCAAACTACTCTATGATTCTACAGTAACTCTGCTATGTAATTAGAGATTGAGCCTAATCACCAAGTACTGGATTTTAAACACTGCAAATCTAAAGTTAAAAGGCTGCTGGATATACAGCATGCTGAATTTGAAGCTTGATAGGGACCTACTGAAGTCCAGGTTCCCACTCAGCTCTTAGAAGGAAATATTTGAACAACTCACTTAGTATTTCCTTTACCCCCTGAAGGTATTGTCCACTGCTTGCATATGTGCAAACAGGAAATTTGTTCAGTAACACAGACAATTTGCCACATGGTTTGTGACAAAAATCTACAGAAAAACTGCAGATACACAGCTGCAAGCACGAGGAAATGCAGCCTATGAAATAATGACTGAAATAGCCATTTAATCATCATTGTCATCTGCCCACACGCTGTGCACACAGTGGTAACAGATAAGAGGTTTAAAGTAAGTCTTACAGCAAAAGACCCAGGAAATTATTCAGTTTATCAAAAGAAAAGGGAAGCATGTAGTAGGGAACATGGTCAGAGAAGGATTTTCAGTCACACAAGGCTGCTGCAAGAAGCTTCTTGCAACTTCTGTTGCAAGAAATGAAGCTAGAATGCACACTGAACTAGAAACACAGCATTTATCTTTCACAGCGTGAGGGATTCACCAGTGAGAGAAGTGTCTCAAGCACCAGGGTGAATCATGTTTTGGTGCATTGTGAGTGGATGTGTTCACAGATGATTCCTAGATCAAGCACCCCTGTACTGAATTTGAAGAGGGAAATGCTTCAGGGAAATCCAAATGTCCGTGTTATGGTGAGATCAGTCTAAGCAATCAAACCCCCGTCTTCTGGCCATAAAAACCCATGACTCAGTTAACCTCTAAATGTACCAGCCACATCAGATTGTGCAACATTTATGCCTTTTTATAGTATAAATAAAGCAAACGATGCCCTGGTGATACTATCTCGGTGTGTGCAATTTCTTCCTGGATACCATGCCGCTATTACTGTAGCAGGAAAGGACAGTTGCTGGTTGAAGCTTCCTAGTTAGAAATATGTCTTTGGGAGTTTATTTTATGTTCTGCTCAACACACAACAGAGCAAGTAATTCTGAGCAACCAAACCTGAACTTGTTGTCAGCTCTCTAGAAGGATAAAACTAGCATACTTCAGATACACAGCTTTCTCACAGTCTCTCTGTAAAGGAAGAACCTCAAATCAGAGCTGATCTACTGAATTTCATTGCTCTTTTTCCATTTCTCCACACGTAAAATGGGGATTGATGGGGAAAGGGTAGCTTACTTCATGTGGGATGACTAAGAAATAGGAGGGCTTTATTTTCAGGGCAGTGAGAATCACATTATTGCAAGGTATGTTTGGGGGTTGGGAAAGGGACAATCCTACAAAGAGTAGTTTATGGAGTTAAATTCACCCTGCAAAAAGAGGAAAGCAGGTTCAGATATGCTGGAAGGACTTCCTGGAACTAGTTCAGTCTTTCAGCCAGTCGAGAATCACTGCAACTGATTTTCCAGCATGGGAGGCCGAGTTGAAGAGTCAGGCTACATTCCCTTGGATTGGCCAGCAGCAGCAGCCATCCAGCCAAGACACGAGCTACTGGCTGTCAAACCCTGGCAGAGCTGGGGCGATGCACATCAAGCTGTAATGCCTGCCGTAAGCTGAGTGCGACACACTTCAGAGAGAGCGGATACTTTCATTTCCACCTCGGAGGGAACCTGCAATGGATACTGTACCTTAGTACCCTGACTTTAGGAGACAGCTCTGAGCAAGTCATGGCTAAAGGCGTGGGGAAGGAACCCATGGCCTGTGCACAGGAACACGACTTTCTGAGAAATGGAGACAAGCTGAAAAGGAGCTGAGAGTGGGACAGCAACATGCACACCCAGGCCCCCTGCAAAAGTAAGCACTTTACTGTTTGAAGGTATCTGCTTCTTTTCTGGTGCCAGTATTAGTTTTAACATCCTTACCTCTTTCTACAGCCTTTCCTGCCGCTGAATCCAGTTTTCAAAGCTACACATTTAATTCCCCAAACCTCCCATCAACTGCACTTGTATCCCAGATCCACAGGCTACAGCAGAGTGCACAGATGTGACAGAACATCCACCAGTCTCCTTCCATATTTTGTTTTCTAAAAAATACTTGACTATGCAAATCATTATCAAATGAAAGCTGAAGCAAGAGGACATTCTCTGTATGTAGCCCAGAGACAAAAGTCGGAGCTAGCATGCTGGGTATATTGCATCAGCTTGTTGCATTTAAGTTGCACTTTTCTGTTTTCGAGGCAGTGGGCTCACAAGTTGTCTCTGAGTCCTTGGTCCTGTTCCATGCTGCTTTACTCTGCTTCTACACTCATCAGTTCTCATGGGCTGCAGTGAGAAGATGATGCATAAGTCATAAGTGTACTACTCAATAATAGGAAATGGTTTTACCTTCCACATTTTTCTCTAAGTCTTTGGCTGGGGGGAAGAAACAGGAATCAGTCTGCTGTAAACAGTCTAAAATCAGTTTTCACACCTGTTTCACATGAAAGGATGTATATTTAAGTAGTACTATTTTCCAAATTACACATGAATGATAGAAATAACTATTTCTCAATGACATAATCTTCATTTCTCTACACAGCACATTTTGTTTATTCCTACAAAGCTTTTCAGACATATAGCATTAGATGTTGAATTAAGAAATTCAAAATAGAAGTTAGATGTTCAGGTTTTTTTATTAGCACAAGAAACTTTCTTATCTATTGAGAAAGCACACTACATGCTGGCAGATCAAGTACAAGGAACAAATTCTCAGAAAAACCCAAATTCTAATCAGCACAACCACAACTTAAATTTCACAAACCTCAATTTTGCTTTTTTCAGTGACTTTCTCAACTTTTACCAGAGCCCAAGTGTTTGAACATAAACACCTCTAAACAAAACAGACAAAACTCAGTGGTTTATAACTAAGATGGAACATGCCAGTCATGCTTAATCGGCCAAATCTAAAGATTCCTCTTAGAAGCTGTCAATTAAGCCTTTTCCATAAATTTTTCCATTATAGAAAGCAACCTCTTAATTCCCCACAAAACAGAAGAAACTGTCCACAAACCCCTGCAGCCTCAGCAATGAAACAAACTGAGCATAGGTCTGTACTTGCTGACATGGCATTGAGTAGAACATTTGTCCCTACATGTGAATGACATCAAACTCTGCTGGCAGAGGCTAAAACAAACCTTCCTGGTTTTATGTAAAAAAAGGTTTAAGAAGGTACAAAATTTTCGTCTCCTATGAGATGTCATTTCCCATGAACTTGGTAAGAAAGCAATAAAACCCCATCAGCTATGTCAAAAAAATTTCCTGCTTCTACCTTTATCCTGATTAGGATATTCATGATGGTAGTGAAAATACTTCACATTAATCAGATTTGAAACAACGCATAAACTTTAAAAGTGGTATTTTTTTATGTCACCAATGTCACCTATTAAAAACAGGAAGGATTTTAAAATGTGACGTGCTTATTGCTCATGATACTATTTCCATTGCATAAGTGAATCTGTGATTACATTGTTTTGACAAGGAGAGGGAAAGATAACATGTCTATTTAGAAACATATCTATTGATTCTAGGATTAGTTTAAAAATCCTGGAAAAATAGCAAATTGTAGCAAATTTGACCTAGAGGGCTGTCAGTTAGATTTTGTTTGCAAGATTGGTCATAACCAAATTTATTTTGAAAGTTCAAATAGACTTAAGGAAGCTCTGATGGAGAGGGTGGGTTTCTTATCCATTTCTGAAAAGCTAATTGAAGAAGCATATAACAGAAAAACATCATTAGCTTTACAGGCCTTCAAACTCTCCTGGCTATGTGCTCAAACAGCAACACTGTTGGGAATACGATCTGGGGAAAGGTAGTAGTAAGGAAGCTTCTTGTTCTTGTTGCGCTCGGTGATGGTGTTGACAATCTCATCCAAATTCTTGCGGAATTTTGCCATAGCCTCTTTCACTGGCTTCTCCACGAAGTGTTCATCTGGGTACATGCCCAGGAACAGCTGATTGAAAAACACCAAGAAACCGTGCTTTGAGAAAGCAAAGGCAATTAGTTTTCAATATTAAGCCATTTGGCAGAACACCACCCAGAGCCTCTCCTCACAAATGCTTCTTTTAAAATAGTATTATCAATACTCAAGCTAGGCTACACCTTTCCTCTATTGCTGGCTGCTTCTTTCCATCCCTGCATTTTTCTGTGGTGCTGGTTCAGGTGTCTACATGGCACTCCTTGACCTAAAGTGACCTCATCCACTGAAAACCATGCACTTTTATTCAGGCAGTGATCAGTCAGATGAGCTTCCTATGCCAGATCTCTGTATAGCCACACAAACATTTATGCTGCTAAAAGAAAGGATAGCATTAGAAGGGAATTCACAGCCAGAGGTTTAAAAGGAAAATGACTACTTCATTCAGTGACAGTGGAAGATTCTGTTGACTTCAAACTGTCCTTCAGAGTTCAATATGACAGTTCCTTTAGTCAGCTTGGACTCTAAGGGTGCTCTGAAAAGTGCACTGCCAATAGGCACACTGGCATTGCTTTGGGCACTTGGGGAACTATTTCCCATAGTACAAGCCTCTCTGCTAGTACTGCTTTCTTCTTACAGAGAAACAGAATTTAAAGTACCCTCTGTCCATCTTCTATTTACGGATTTCAAAACACATTCTCCAGAGCCCTTGTGTGAAACAACCAGGTACCTACAATCTCATTTTACATGAGGGAAATGGCTACAGACCTGTAGCCATGCATGGCTTTACATGCCTGCAAAGCCTTCTGTAGGCTTGTTTTGTTTTCACTCCTCACCTGCCAGGCACAAGCCACAGCTGTAGTGCACATGGCACTGGAGCAGATTTTCCAAAGGAACAGGACATGGGGACACAGCACTGCTGCACCTTCTTCCCCAGCACTGCAGGGACAACCCTTATGCCTCTGCAGCCCTCTGCCTCCCACACCAGCATCCTTTTTAAGCAATGCCATGCTCAAGTTTAAAAACTTTGATTATAGCTGAGACAGCATCAGAGTAAAAATTAAAAATACAACTTCTTTCTCAGAGCTGGTTTGCATGTGGCAGAACACAGGCAAACACCCAGCACTGACACATCTCCACAGAAAGGTGAAAATGGCCAAGTCAAGCACAGGGCAGCGCTACAGTCTCATGAGTCTGTGCAGTCTTGCCATGGCCCTCATGGTCTCACATCTCCAGCACTAGAGCAGGGAGGTTGACTTACTTCTTTGTCCTGGAATTGGCTCAAGGCCCAGACAGCTCCAAGATGCCAACAAGAACGTCCCCTGTCTGGCAGACTCTCCACAATTTGCTCGATGGTGACTGTGCCCTTTTCTGTTGGAGGAGGGCAGCGCATTGTTGGTGGGGCATTGGGAATCCAGGAGCACCAGTCATACTGCACAACAGAGCAAGAGACCACAGTGAAAACCTGCAATGGCTGGTGTTTAGGAACACACCAAAGAAAATCAGGAGTTTGCCAACAGGGACTTTGCTTTTGTAACAGGAGCCCCTCAGAAAGAGAAGATACTAATGACAGGGAAATTCTAGAGAAGGACTGGAGGTGACAAGGAAGTCCCTACTGTTTTGCTCAGGAACTCACAAGAGAGAGAGTTGGGTAATCTAAATGTAAGAATTTATTCTGCTAACCACAGGCATGTGCCACACAGCCCAGATTCAGCAGACTGGCTAAGGTCTTAAATATTTTATAAAACAAAGTTCCCTTCTGATAACCTGAGGTGATCGCCTTTACTCCAGCTTCTCTTTTATGCTAAATTTCCTCCAAGAACATGCCCACAGTGAATGCCCATGTGGTCAGATACTAACAGAGATAAAGCATGCTGGTTCATTAAGAAATATGGAATATGGCATGCAGATATGGCCATGGTGAGCAGCAGACTGGGAACTCATAGTTGCTTCTGGCCTGGTTCAGTGCAGTGAGATGCTGATGTCTCATTTTGCCTCAGATATGACCCTGAGTTTTGCCACCACCTAAGATGCTGCAGTTACCAGAACCCTTTCTTTCCCAAGCACTTTTTCATTACCTTCTTACATTACCCTGCTCTGCCTGAGGGAAAGTGCACAGCTACCTCCTCTTCCCCTCAGCCCTCTCTGCCTTTTGGTTCCATGGCTGAAGGTCCTTTTACTGATGGGCTGCATACACCAAATTAAGAGCTGGTTTCTTGGTGGTACTTAAACAGACAGGATTTTCTGAGGGGGGCACTGGGAACTGTCTCAATCAGTTGTGAAGATAAGTTAGAAGGGAACAGTTGCAGAGGTCCCCGATCATGGACATGCCACAGCAACAGTGCGAGTTCATTAGACACCAGGTTCCAGGGCTCCTGAGCTGCAGGGGTGGACAGGAGGGTCAGCATAAAAAGTGATGTAGGGTATTTGGGAATAACCACCATAAGAAAGATGGTCTCTCTGCTTATCTGTGAGATGATATCTCAGAGACCACCTAAGCCTGAAGCGAGAACATGCCAAAAAAAAGCTCATAAAATCATAGAATACCTCAAGCTGGAAGGTAGGATCATCTAGTCCAGCTCCCTAATCTTTGTAGAACTACCTAAACTAAACCATCAGACTAAGAGTATCATTCAAGTGCTCCTTGAACTCTGACAGGCTTGGAACTGTGACCACTTCCCTGGGGAGCCTGCTCCCGTGACTGACCACCCACTCAGTGAAAAAGCTCTGTGACTGGCAAAGTGATTTGCTTCTGGCTGTTAAATCTGATTTCCAAAATACCTTGATGTTGAAAGGTATTTGATTTGAAAGGCAGGTTGTTACTACAGATTCAGGGCAGATATATGTCAGTCAAGGCAGACAGGGATAACACAGGTTATCAGTATGTGACACATCAAACATCATAGAGGAAGTTCAAAGTTGCCACTTGGTTTGTAAACTCAAGAAATGAGCAGCACTGCCATTTAAATGCTTAAAAAATTATTCCCATAATAAAATCAACAAAACAAAAATATATGGGTTAAAACCCCTAATCTGATCTTTGGTACATATGTAGGACCTGCAATGCATTTCTCAGATTCCAAATTACTTCAATTTCCACAGATTTCACAGGGATTTGTAGATGGCTCTGCAGTTATTTTGACCAGAGAAAAGGTAATGTAATTCTGTAATACATCTACTAAAAAATGCTTCTCAGATCCTGCCCTGGTAGATGTACCTCCCAGCCCAGAAAGAAGAACAGTCCTCCCACAAGTTCCTACCTGACCAAAATTCACAGCTGCGTGTTGAGCCGACGTAGTGAACATGATCACTGTGAGATATTCTGCTAGTGTCTCTCGTGTCCTGATCATCTTAGGGAACCCTAAATGAGGGAGAAGAAGAGCTTGACCCAGCAATGAAGTAACCCTGCCACCCAGCAGTAATCAAAAACCACGGGTTAGAGGGCCATGCAGCAGTCTCTGAAGAGCAGGGCATTCTATGAGTCTTGCTGTGTGGTCTAACAGGAGCTCCTCACCTCTCTGTGCCTTGGCTGTGCAGCTGTAAAAACAGCCTTACTTCATACAAGTCTGTGAGGCATCACCACTGTTTGCAAAGTATGTGGTGTTCCTTAAGGGAAAGAAAAAGTATAATTATGCCTTTAAAAACCAGTGTCCCTGTCCTACCTACCCTGCAGCAAGGAACTCCCGGAGTCCCCAGGGCAGGGACCTCAGATGCTCCATTTTTCTTCAGTCTGCAGTGTGAGCAGAGAAAGTTCATGCCAAGGAGGAAGCGACCATGTGCTTGTATTTTATAAAGGTCTGAGGTTCAGCAATCAAGTATATTGCAAGAAAGAATGCAGGGAGAGTTGATTCGCTGAAATGGGAAGTGAGGAAATGAGAACTTCTGAAAAACAAACAACAGAATGAGGAACAGAAATAGTTGCATTAAGCTGTCTTTGAAGGAGAATAATCAGTTATATAAAGAAAAAACAGAATAGTCAGGGACTAGGGAAATATTTTGCAACTGAAGCAACCCCAGCCCTATATCACTCCTATCCTCACTAAATCACAGTCCTGTGCTGTACCCCGGTCCCAGCCCAATGTGATAACTGGTCCCAGTATACCTACAGACAGGGACAAGCTGCCCCTGCCCAGGCTGTGCCAGCTGCTTCATATCTCCACCACCATATCTTGCACCTCAGCCTGCAAGAGGGAAGAGGTAGCTCTGGCCAGCCACCAAGCCCAAAGAGGAGAGGATGCACCATCCCCTCCTGCGTCCTGCTATTCTAAGTACACTGTGCTCATCTTTAAAGGAGTTTGGCATTCTCCCAATCACAGCAGTCCTCCCAGGGAAGAAACAGGTGCCACAGCCTCCCTCATTTAGCCTCCTCCCACTCTTTACTCACCCTGCCCAATCTCCATTCTCTATGATACAACCCTTGGAGCAGCAGCAGTGCAGAAAGAGACGCTGCAAGCCTGGCAGTTTTCCCACCTGTAGTGGCAGTCCTCCCACCAGTGGTGCTTGTAACATCCCACCCCAGCTGGAGCCCTGGAAGGCTCAGTACTTGTCTCAAATCACGATGCTTAGGTCAAGCATGAAGTTCTTACCAGGAGGAACAACATTTCTAAGCTTTTGCTAAGAGACAGCTAGACAAACAAAAATCAACCTTTGCTTGTCCAGGCACTACCCAGAAGCCTTTTATCCACTAGAATATAATGACTGGAAACATCACACCTTTGCCTGGACATCTGGCACCCCAATGTGTGCATGCAACACCAGAGCCATCTGCCCTAGGTCACTGGCCAACAGGTGTTGACAGATTTAAATCAGACAGGACAACAGGAAGAATCCCCAGCCACCTCTATAAATTCCTGAAAATCTGCTTGGAAAAAATGTGTGTGTAAGAGAAAAGCAACATGTTTAGGGAATGACAGAGGAGTATTTACTCAGGTAGGTGAATTGAGGCATGTTATGGATGAGAGCTCCCATGGCCAAGTAATGGTTTGCAAGAAAAGAGAGGCAGTGAGAAGAGACAGGGCAAAGGAAAATATTTCTTGGAAATTATGAGTATCTGTTCTTGAAGAGACTAGAATAGTTCAATGATGACACAAATGCTGAACAAATGTGAAATGCAGCAATATACTCCTGGGGAGGTTATTACATGTTCTTATTTAGTGTGAGGTTTGGAGGAGAGGATTCAAGGGGCCTCACTGCTCCTTGATGTCTGTCAGTCTGCCTGGTGGCTGTAACACACACATACAGGGCCCCTAATGCTTAAAGCATGAGCAGACAAAATCAAAGGACCTGTCCCCTGTGTGGAGAGATTACACGAGTTGCTCAAGCTCATTATGAGAATCTGTGTCAAAGGAAGGAGCTGTCTCCTGAGAGATGGACTGAGCCAGGGTCTCACAATAAAACCCAGCTTCTTCAGCCCCAGAAGAGAGCAGGTCTCTGACTTGTGCTGCGCACTCAGCACTGCTGCCAGCAGGGACTGGATGAGCTGCAGACCCGGCTGGGCCATCATCCCTTACCTGAGGCTTTCACACCCCTCATTCCATAGACGTAAATGTCTTTGACAAAAGCCTGCAGCTCCACATCCTCACACACCACCTCGTCGCTCTCATAGTAGATGTGAATTACATCCTCTGCAAAACTGCAGGCAGGAACAAACAAACAAAATGAAAGGAGAATGCAAGTCTGCCATTGCAGAAGATGATCTTCTGACCTTGCAGATGCTACATGGGGAAAGAGAGAAGGGCAAGAGAAGGTCTCAAAACCCTCCTATCTCCTTCCCACAAGCAGTGGGAATTAACAGAGGCAACTTAGATTTATTTGGGACTGCAGCATCACTTCTTCCCCCAACAAAAAGATCCTGGACCACACTGCAACCCCTGAAAAATCCTGTGCACTTTATTCTCTTATTTGAGGCTTTGCTCCTGCACAGACCTCTGTCATCACATCTATATCCTTTACTCACTCCATACAGACTCCCTCTTGCATATCCACATGGCTCCCACACTGGGCAGTGGGGTTCCCAAACTGTGATACCAGCACCATTCCCTGTATGTGGGACACTCCAAAGCTGCTCCTGAATGCTAATAGTTGACCCCTCCCACTGGATATTCTTTTTGTGAAACACTTAAGCGGCCCAGGAAACTTCTTCTGGGAAGAGGTCTAGAGCTACTTCCCATGCCCACTGCTCACAGCAGACATCTTGTTCAGTTCCTCTTCTCAAGATGCTCTTTCTACGAAAGCTTCCCAGGCTAGCCCACCTCTGAAAGAAAGGCTCTTAAATACTAAGATAACATAAGTAGTTTTGAAAGCAGTGAAAATAGGAAATCCTGATTTCCTGAAGAATTGTAGCTCATGATTGTATGACTGGTTAATGGACCTGTGCTGAGATATTCTGTTAGCTCTGCAGGTACCTTGCTAAATCTCTTGCTAAATATTTTGACAACAACCCATAGGATGAAACACTTGACTGTAGAAGCTGACTGATGGGATTAAGAATTGTTACCCAACAGAGATTTATCCCTTAATAAAATATAAACTTATACATGTTATAAATTTATTGCAATTTGGAGACTTTTACAAATCTATCCATGTTCCTATCAGCCAATCAAGAGTTGTCATTGAGGAAGACAAATAACTGAATAAACACAAAAAGTTTAAGTAATTTTAGCTTTCAGAGGAAATTAAAGGAAAACAAAAACTTTGCAACATGCAGAGAGAAAGGTGCTCTCCATGAGCTCTGTCTCCATGCATTTGGCACTGGTGCCAGGTGATTCAGGAAGGGGATCCTCCTCTCAGAAAATGGCAGTATTTCAGACCCCCTTCCATACAAACAGAAATTAGTATATGAAGTGTGGGTGAGACCTTTTGGGCTGAAGTATCTTTGGGTTGGTGTACCTATCTGCAGTTAGATCAGAAACAGGAAGAGAACTAGAGAACTTTACAAATTTGCTCTGTGAGACTCATTGTTTCTATGGGAACAACCTTATCAGCTTCCTTAGGCCCAGGCCATCTACAACATGTGAAGTAATGCTGAGGATAGAAATTATTTCATCAAAAAAGGGAAGACTGATAACCCTGCAGAGCGCAGGAGATTCCTGGTGAGCAGACACATGCATGATCATGGGTGCATGGGTCAGGATCTCACACACTCAGAAGGGCACTGCCCACACCATTTATAAATCAAATGATACACAGCTCTCAGCCCAGCTCGAGGCAGTGTAACATCACCCTCCACCAAGGTCAACACCCACAAACAGTCAAACTGACTTGAGCTGATTAAGTATTACCTGGTATTTGAAAGGTGTATCTCAATCCACAATGAAAACACAGGAAAGAGGAGGACAAAAAAGAATGGACTACATGAAGAAAACAACCACAGCAAAGTAACAACTTCCTTTTCTCTCAAATGGGCACTCACAATTGCAGGAAATATTGCATGATAAGCCCTTGTAAAAACACAGAGGAAACACAGGAGACAAAGATGTCCCCAGAAGTTCCAACACTATCCTTGCATCATAAAACTCCTACTTTGTGTACACAAAAGATCTGATTTTTAATGATCATGCTTTTTAAAAGTCATGTGATCAGAAACAGCTGCATATTTGGTAAGCAACTTATGCCATGCAAAAATATGTTGTTTGTTAAATTAAATGCCACTGAAGAATAAAAACCATATAAATCATGCAAGGCAGTGTTTCAGATCTGAAAAGGAGCCATGATTGTGTGGTCGAGCAGCCTTCCAGTACCTCTCCTTACTCAGAATTGCTGCCCTTCCTCATTAAACTCAGATTTTGAAATTTTAAGGCATTTTAAGAAAGGTTTTGTTCCAACCAATTTATACCTAATTTACTGAGTTTCAAAAGAGAACCATCATGGGAGCCAAGCTTATATTTTCAGTCCACAAAAACCTTGATGAGCTCACATGGCTGGCTCAGAGAACTGAGTTCTCTCTTGGCTTGTGCATAGCTAAAAAAAAGAATAACTAAATTCCTTTTACAGACTAAATTCCGACTCACTAAATTTCTGTGAAATTCTGTAGAAGAGTAAATACTTGTAAAGGATCCTCTGAAATACAGAATGCAAGGAAACAACACTGAGAAAAGCAGGAATTAGCAGTCTTTAAAGAGTGTGTGCTTGACTAAATATTTTTCCTCAGATGAGATATACTGGATAGAAAAGGCACTATGTGACTAACCAGCCCAGATATTGTTTACAAGATGCCATGAAGATCAAAGTGAGGAGGAAAAAAATGAGGTCGGTGTCTCTGTGACTTTATTAGCCAGTATCTAGAACTATGGTCTTTTACCTCTTTATAGCCTCCCAGACCCTAATGCCATCGTCCCGGTAATAGTAGTAGGGGATATCCTCTTTGCTGTCCATTCCTTTAGCTTTCATCTCCTCAGGGAAGCAGAGGGAACTATAAGTCAGATCCTTCATTGCCTTCTGCACCATTTGTACATGTCCTCCTCCACCTGTAGCATTTGCCTGCAGGAAGAACAGCAAGATGGGAACAGTAGGAGATTACATTCCCTTTGTGCCAAGACTGGCATTACAAATTTGCAGGAGATGGGATACAGAACGCTGGTGAATCTGTTTTTCAAGGAGAAAACCACATCTCCACACAAAGTACCAAACTGCAGAGACCTACTGGAACTGTGCATTTTGACTTTAGGGATTTCACACCTCTCCCATGAGTCACTGCTAATATCCACATTTGCACCATAGGTACTGCTTATACTGGAATACACTAATAAAGTACATCAATATCAAAGCATGCTATTCCCTGCAGCTCTATGCTCCAGTACCAGTGCATGTGTGAAGGGAGGCTGCCCTGAGTGTGTTAGAAGAGGGCTTAAGATGAACTGCCAGTGCTGTTACAGAGCAGTTTAGGAGCAAGTTTTTAGGGATGCAGGCTCCCTTAGTCACCCTGGAAATAATGCCAGGAGATCAATCCTGCTGGGTTGAGACTAATGAGGAGTGGCCAGGGTTTCACTATATGTTACATTTGAAAAACACAGTATGTCCACTACAGACAGCACTGCAAAACTCTTCAGATAATCACTGTGCAAGAGTTCCCAAAAGTTGCTTTTCTATCACATGATATAGTGTTATAGCAGTTGTGACCTTACATTTACTGTCCTCTGGCTTGTTGTTCATCTGTATTGGAACCAACAAATCTTGGAACTCCAGATCCTTGCTGCCAGGTCTTACCCACACACTCATCCCACATGCATGGGGTATGGACATGACACTTCTATTTAAAGGGATGCAAAGTCTCACAGTCAGCAGTGGAGTACAGACAACAAGGAAAGGTGTCTGGATTTAACCCCTCTATTCTGTTTGGGTGAAAAACTCTGAAGCAAGGAAGCTATTTTTGGCCTGGTGCCAGTGGTGTAATGAGGACAGAGATGTCCTGAAACACAGGCTCCCTCTTTGAAAGGGCTTCTGAAACCCCCCAAACTTCATAGCACGCTCCTAGAATGTTGTCACAGAGACGGCTGTGTGCCAGGCTGTTGCAGTTCCTAGATGTGGCATTCCATTTCTCCCAGCAAGCTTGGTGTCACCTGTGAACTTACTGAGGATGCATGCCAGCCCTCACCCAAACCATTGATAAAGGTATGACATTCAGCTACGTCTCACTGACTCAGGTGAAGCTGAGGTTCAGTCCTAGTAGGTCTGCTTATGGCAACTCAAGAAGACAGTCTGGAATCCAAACACACTCTTTGTGGTCTTAGAAATCTGTCTTACCTACGTGTCTTTCTGTGATGAAGATTTCCATTTGCAAACACAGATCCCTTTGCTCACAGATGAATAACTGAGTATTTAAAAGAAGTTGGGGCCTTAATTATGTGGACACATATGCAGGAATTTATGTGCACTCCTGTATTATAACCCAAAGGCACATCAGCAATGAGCAAGATATTGACTGACATTGGCCAGTTCTGATTTGGCTACTTAGAGGTAAAAGAGAACATCTTCAGCACAACAAGGCATCAGATCTGTGTGCCTGTTTCTCAGGTGGCATTACTTATGTTTGCCCTTTAATAAAAAGGTCAGGGAACAAGGCAATATGTGATGATTACAGGATATGTACATATGGAACCACGAAAAGCAAAGAACCATGGATAAGGATGAACTGACATGAACAATAAGGATTCACAAGGACTTTACCTACCTTGTCAAAAAGGCCACATTCACAGATAAGCTGTTCTCGGGCTTTGGTGTTGATGGCTATTGTGAACCTCATATGTGGCACCAAGAGCTGTGAAATGAAACAAACATTGAGAGAAGGAAAATTCTCGATTTGAATTCAACAGCAGCCAGATGTAAAGGTTGAAGTTCTGGTGGTTTAGCTGTATCTTATCTTGCAGGGCAGCCAGTTAAACTATTTCATCTGAACGACCACCAGAACTTCCTTTTGGTTTGTCCAACCGATGTGATAACCAGCCCACCCCACCCACACCCTCCCTTCTTGCAAGAACTAACCTTGAAGAGGGGATGTACAGCAGGCAGCTGCCGAAACATAGCTATGCTGAACACCTCTGAGACCAGGTGTGTCCGTAAGAGGTGGGTCACTGTCTGGTGGATGTGGAAATCAGAGGAGCGGACCCAAATTTTAGCTAGCAACCAGTCATATGTGGCATCTGAAGGGAGGAAGATGGGGTTGTCTGGTCCAGGCTTTTGACCAAGCTGAAAGATATAAAAAGAACATGAAACCCCAAGTCCTTAATGTTTGAAATGAGACAACAAAGAGTGTGGCCTTCTAAAGACCCTGACAGCAAGCCCACCTGGATTGCAATGGGTACAATTTTTTTCTCCAGATTCTTATACAGCAAACAGATGGGTGCAGCCAAGTACTGTACTGTGCACGGGTCAGTTTTATTGGCATCCACACCATCAAGCAGCTCATAGTCCACAATGAAAATGTTGCCTTGCTGTGGGGGGGGAAAAAAAAAAAACCAAACAAAAAACCAAAAAAAAAAGAAGAAAGAAAAAAAAAAAAAAAAGAGAAGCATGATGTGTTTTAATGACATGCAAGCAGCTTGGAATAAAGGAATGGGAAGTCTTGCCCAGAGATTGAGATGAGCCTGGTGGTTACAAGCTACCCCTGGCCTGCCCTTGCTCATGGCAGCTCAAGAATGATGCCATTGAGACATCAAGAACCATTGCACAAACTACCTGACTTGTATCTGCAGAGTTTGGCAGCGAGCCTTTCAGCAAAGAGCATCTATGTATTTGGTACTCATGCAGTGACACTCAGATGCAAGCAGGTTTCACCCTGCCAGCTGAAGAGGACCTTATGTTAATTGTACAAACAAAAGCAAGGCACCACCCTTGTCAACGCTTCTTCAGCATGATAGTGAGAAAGACCCTGGCAGGAAAGGAAGAGGCACCTTTCCCCTCTGAGGCATTCAGTCAATCCTTAACCTTTCAGAGAAAACCAGTGCCAAAGGACTGTTCATCTCCAGGTTACAGCTCTTCCACTGGACCTGGAGACAGGCATTACCTGCAGCTGCAGGACAGCAGGAGGAAAGCCAACAGGAGCACTGCCAGTCTGCAGAGATAAACAACTTTGCCGTGACCTATCACACATCCTGAAGAAAGGAGATGTGGCTGAAGACAGTAAGAACAGACTCTGGAGATTAGAGGATGTGAGAAGGAACAGGTAGAGCCCAGCCTGACACAGAGCCATACCTTCACTTCTTCCTCCAGCGTCAGGTTCCTCTCCAGACTGCATTCTACCATATCCATGGTCACAGGCAGCTTCTTGGGTATCTCTGTACATCTCCGGATCAGCACAGGATTGCATCCATTCAGGAACTGGTAGCCAAACATAAAATCTTCCCTCCAGTGTTGCATCACATATTCTAAAGGAAAAGCAAGCCTACAGCATCAATATCTGTGCAGCATCAATACCTACTGCATTGAATGATTCCTCCTTTCCCCCTCACCTTTTTGTTATACTGCACTGTAACTTTGAATAAGGAAAGCAGCAAGAAAAGGGTTCAAAATGTGACAGACTTGAAGTTAAATGGAAAATTAAATCCTTGCTTCTCACACTGAGAAGAATTAAATTGATGATAATTTGTTTCTCCATGTACAAAAGCAATGAGGAATAAAATATTCCACTTTTATGAAAAATACTCTCTTAATCTGTAAACCACCTTCTCAGGTTTTTCATTAAATTTTTAAATCCCCCTCTTCAAATTCATAGGGCATGCAGAACAGAGGGATAAGTTCAAAAACAGGTGGCACAAGCAGGAGAAGGGAAATGCACATCAATGTGTGTAGTGAAAGAACAGCAGTGGCTGGAGCAGTTCTTTTAGGCTAGAGCTGGGTGAAGGAAATTTGGGGGAGCGTTTGGACTCTGACTCAGTAAAACTCCTCATTTGTTGTTTTGCTCGTTTGACCTGTTTTCCCTCTATTTATTTTTCAGTTGCTGATATAAACCCAGATTAACATCTCGATACAAATCTAGTTTTGCATATTCCATCACTTTATTATTACATATGTAGTACTGCTGGATATTTTCTATAGTTGCAGTGTTCTGTTTTGTAATGTCATGTTGTCACTTCAGTTAATATGAAAAATCCCATTGGTGTCTTCAGTGAAGTTTTGCACTACTGGCTAGTTTTAAGCAAGGCAGGACTTTTTCTGAAAGCAATTAATTTTTCTAAAAAGGGTAAAAATATTAAAAATATAGGCCCCAAGGTAACACAGTGATAATTTTAAAAAAGTCTTAAACCCACAATGCTTTTTCATAAAGCAGAAAAAAGTTAAGTTTATATAAAATGACATTTACATTATCTTTATCAACTGCTTAATGAGTCTGGTGCTGTATCTGAAGTCTACATCAAGAAAAAAATTACTCAGTAACTTGGACAGAAACTGCGTGACTGAAAAATGCCTTGAACCACCTTCTCCCAAGGTGCTTCTGCCAAGGCTTGAAAAAAAGCAAACCGAGATTTGTATTAACATAACTGAGACCGATGCTTAATGTTTACATGACAGAGAATTGGAGCTTTCCTCATGAGTATGGAAATGTTATGAAAGAAACTAATTGTAGATCATATCTAATTCTTGTGTTAAAAGTGCCTTAGGAATCAATCTTATTAAATGTAACAAATTGCTGTAATTAATTTTTAATACTTCTGCCACCTTGTGCGCTTGGGTTTATACCCAAGAAAACCATAATTGCTCTTATTTCTGTGAATTGATCCCTAGGCAGCCTGAAGAAGAGTAAAACTTCAGAGAATACAGTTTATTTATTGGAGAGCAGAAGAGCAGGTCAGCCACATCCATCCTAATCAGATGATCAAACAAGACAACTAATTAGTCACTCTATGACGCAAACATGAGCAAATGCTGATAAACTCACCAGAGATTGTGTTGCTGATTCTGACAAAAATCCTCTCAAAATCTGCAAAATCACTCCAGGAGGACTGGAACATGTGCATGAAACGGTTGACATAAAGATTTTCCATCCTAAAAATAAGCCAAAACAAAACATATCTGGAAAAAATAATCTCCAGCTTTCTCAATATCCATTCCTATTATTTTCAATGTTTTTATATATCTAAACACAATAAACTTTAGTACTGGAATGTGGGAGTAGCCCCCCTACAGAATTAATATTGCAGGCTGCACCTTTACACACAAGGCTGAAGGCACATCAAGAGCCCAACTTGTGCTATTGCATTTACACAACTCCATTCTAGAATAGTTCTCAGCAGCCTACAGTGGCAGTGCTTTGGGACCTACAAAAACTGCAGTCAGAAAAGCTAGTGCTTCACACACTGTCAGTGGTTAACATCAGCTAAGAGTGCTGAGGGCACTACTAACACCAATTCAGAAAGTGGTATGGTGACACAAAGAGACTCAGAGAGGGGCACAAAGTCAGAAGATAAACAGCCCAGAATCAGTCAGCCACTATTCCTAAAAAGAACAACAGGTACTTTAAGTATCTACATGACAAAGGCCAGGCTGGATCCCAAAAGTGTGAGGTCTGAGTTTTTGAGAGCTTTCTATTTATTTGAGCTGCTGTATAAACTTGATGCTCACATCTAACCTCAGAAACTGAGGGTCTTAGCTGCACACATCACATGAACACAGCAGGCTGGGAGCCAGAAATGTCTGACTTCATCTGCTAATTCAGCAAATACAGCACTGCCAAGTTCCCTTTATATGAAATGATGAGTCCTAAATTATTGCATAAATGCTAAACTGCTGCTATTAGATGGAAATAATTCACTTTGACTAGAAAGCAAATAATGAACTTAAAAAAGAAAGCTGGCTTCCCACTAACACTTCAAACACACAAATAAAAGCACACATGGCACACGAAGATATGCAGGGCAGACAACAAAGTAAAGTCACAGTGCTGCACCAAAGCCTCCCAAAAAGAATTTGAGGAGAATCCCAGGAGGCTGGATTTATAATCAGCAAACATATAGAAAAGACCGGATCAGAACTGGCTGGAGAGGATGAAAAGCCTGGAGAAACAGCCAGTGACTTTCTGGAAGGAGGGCTGTAGACCAACATGACCACAATGCAGACAAAGGAGCTGCTTCTGCACTCAGCCCAGATAGGGTGCATGCAGAATGGGCTGCTTCTGCTGCTGCAGATGGCAGTCAAGGCTAAGAGGTGTCTGGAGGCATGTTTGGAAGTAAAAGTCACACAACTGTCTAGGCTAGAACAGGTGATGGCCTCTCCAGAGGTGTTCTCACACCCAACAGGGACAGAGAACCACTGGACAAAAACTTCCAAAGGACTCAGGAAACAAAAATATGCTTTCCTCAAGAAATCAAGTACTTGGAAGTCTCTGGCACACACTAGAAACCAGAGCAAGGAAAAAAAAGTCAGAGTTGCTTGCAGAATTTAATCTGCCCAAATGCAACACTGGTCCAAAATAGCTACACAAGCCTGCATTTCTGGCACAGAATCCAGGCTGAGAGTTTCCATTTGCTAGATAGTGTAGGTCACGTCAGCACCAGGCACCTTCAGGATTATCTCCACCTACACACAATTAATCCTTTAAACTTATAGAGTTATCCACTGTCAACAGCATCCAAAAATCCAACCTTGCAACAGCATAAAGAATATCTGAGATGTATCTCTGTCTAAGTTCATTTTTGCATGTCCCAAGAAAAAGGGCTTTCCCCTTCCCTCTTCCATGACTTCCTATGTCTCATATAACTCTCCCACCTCTCACATATTCCCTTACAAGTTCTCCTTGCCCACTGCTATACTTTGCCTTTGGGTTTCCAGATATACCTCTCTGTCTTCCTTCCCACTGCATTCAAACTGAAGACAAGCCCCATGCCTTCCCCCATGTTTCTCCACTTCATTCCTGCAAACAGTTGTTCCAAGCTCCCAAAGCACATCAGGGTAGCTAAATAAGGGCTATCAAACTCTTCTTCAAAGATTTTCACAATTCACTTGTCCAGAAATATAGGTCTAGATTTTTCAGCCAAATATGCCAGACAAGAAGCATTGCCATTGCTTAGAAAAATCTGTTTTGCGTCACACCAGTTATCCAGAATGGCTGGCTGTCAGCAACACAGTTTCAGGTTCCTGTTTCATGGGAAGGGCCCCTTACAGCCAATGACAAAGATAGATGTCCCTGCACTCTGTTGAGTCACTTCCAAGTTTCACTTGGCAGCAACTCAGGCCCTCTGACAACATGCCACAGCCTGGCAGGATGGGATTGCTGGAAGGGGAATGCAGCCTCCAAACTGCTTGTGTCTCCTAATGGCAAATCTCTCATCTCTGGCATTCAGGTGCTGTGGCTCCTGCATCACTCAGATCTTCTATATGAGCTGGGAAGCAGCTGCTTTGCATTGGCTAACACCATGCTGATTTGACTCTGCGTTGGTAGCGGAATTCAGCTGCACAATTGAATAAATAAAATACCCAGAATGCTCTGACATGTAAGGACCAGTCCTGTCTCATGTCAGACTATTCCACCACCTGGCAGTATGGTGGGATACCTGAGACAGTGTCGTATGACCTGGGCATTTGAGACAGCACTGAAGGAGACTCATGGGTCAGAGAGGTCCCATCTGCCTCACTGACACTGTGCTATTCCAGAGCTCTGCAGGATTGGTTATTCAGGCTCATCCAATGGCCATCCAATGTCTTCCTCAATGACATGATACATGCAAGTGGGTGGACAGTAACTTGGCTGCCCCAAGCAGATTACACTCAGGTGTGGATAGCTGATGAGCTGCTTGGAAGAGATTTTCTCCAGCAGGATGTCAAGGGTGCATTGAAAACTGTCTTGTGTATGCCACCAGAAGATTCAAGTATCACCCACAGTCAGAGGAGAAAGTTATCTCCAGGGAGCAATGCTGACAACTGAGGGAAAAGCTCAAGCTCAGGTGCCTGTAGTCCTGCTGATGCTTTTCTTCAGTGTCTCCTCTCTCTGCCTACAGCCAAAACCATGGCTAAACAAGAATGCAGAGGCTCAGTCAATTCCCAGAAAAACTTAAATATTTATAACTAAAAAATAAAATAACAAATTCATTAAATTCCTATTTTTGTACTTTGATTGGCTGCTGATCCAGCACTTGGAGAAAATAATCTAATTCTGAGATTCAATGAAACCTAAAAGGTAGTCAGATCCATATCCCAAAAGAGATTCTGCAAACTCCTGAAGTTCCACAAACACTTACGCTTTTGTGTAGTTCAGAATGAAGTCAATTCCCTTCTCATTGTCAAACTGGATGTCACGAGGCAGTTCACTGTGAGAATGGGCATCGATGCTCAGCGGAAAGCCTGGATGCCACTCCTTCCAGCTGAGAAAATAAGAGAGGTTTGACTAACCATAAAATCATATCAGCATGGGAGCTGTGTCCTTATTTCTGCTGTTTTGGTGGCTCACTGCTATAAAATGATTTTGTGTCAGAGTCACGTAGCCCAAAATAAGTGATTTACACCACATCAACACCTACCAGTATCCCACGGAATCCTGAAGCAAACTGGAAGGCATCTACTTGGCCACCTACCTTCACAAAGCTTGAAGTAGCTTAATATCTGTGATATTTCTACACACTTACCACGTTTGGTTGAAACTGGCAGTAGCTTCAAATGTATTATGAGGGGAGGGGACAGAGAGACAGCTGCCCAATGCATGCTCATTCTTGGGACTACACTTCTGCAGAAGTCAGATACAGCAGCTAAAACTACAGAGGCATGTATTTAGATTCCTTCAAAAGGCCCTCTCCAGGAGTCTTGACTCAACTGTTCAACCTCCTAATGGTCATGGCAGACATTCTTTGCCCCATTTTTATTTCAAAACAAAAGAAAGTGAATTGTAAAGAACACTGTTTCAATAGTATTTCCAAACTGCCTGCCATACACAGACTACACTATGTATTATCAGCTATGCATCAGAATTTTAAGTAGCTATTTCCCTGAAATTACAAATGGTTTTGCCTTCCTTCTTGCATATGTAAATAAAATTTTGTGGCACACCTCTTTTTGAGCCATATTTCCTCTGCTCTATTTCCTGTAATTTGTAGGGAACAGCCTTTCTTGTTCAAATGAAATAAACAACACATACACCAAGCCTCAATCCATCAATTCTGAATAGACCCTTTGCCCTGACCCCTATTCTCCCAAGAAAGAGATACAAGTGCAAGAAACTTTTGTTATTTTAACAGAGCACATCTCTAGCAAAAGGCAATGTCTAATGTCTTCTGGAGTTACCCTCTAAGACAGAATTTTCTCATCATGACACTGACTAGGAAAAAATGTCTATGGCAGCATAATATATATGTGATATATATGTATAACACATATGTGTGTGTACATATATATACATATATATATATATATATCACAACTGTGTTCTGTTAACACATTCCAGTTCACTCAGACAGGGTCAGGTTTTCACTGTACCCTGGTGCAAAGAAACAACTCAAGCTAGGTTGGTGCAGCAGCCAAAAAGCTCCAGGAAAAGCTGACATGTTCAGATCATGTTCTAAAACTGTAGTACTGCTTTTAACAGGCAAATGAAATGCCTTCAAATCTTCCTTGAAGATTTTCATTGAAAGCACAACGGTGTGCCAGAGGGCCCACACAGAGGCTGTATCACTGAATTCCCACAGAAGTCTTCCAGACTGGCTTATCTGAGGTACAAGTATCCATAATGCCACTTGTACCACCACTGTACAATGAATTCCATCTAAGTAAAAAAACCAGCTATGCCAACATGGTAACTTAGGCTTTCTCTTATCCAGCAGTTGAGTAATTAAAGGCATGTGGTAATGTGAATATAATCTGTCAAACTCTGAGCTGATGAGGACAGACCCTGGAGCAGTGGGAAACTCACCGGTACATTTTCTGACGGGATTCGAGCTCTTTGCGCCTGTGCTGCTTGAGAATCTGAGTCTTGTCATCTCGGGGGAGCTTTGCTGTTAACAGGGAAAAGAGACAGGGTTATGAGCTTCCTCTACCTATCACTGCCCAGGTGTTGAGAAGGACAGCAAAGTTTTCCAAACCTTCAAACTTCTGATCTATACCTTTCTGTGGGAAATGTTTACATGATCCAATTTAGTACTTTTGAGTGGACACAGGTCCTTAGAGAATCTGTGGAAGAAGATAGGCTCCTGACCTGGTGCTTCCAAGAGAAAATTAGCTTAAACTAGGAATATCTGTCTCCACTGTATATAGCATTGGATTTCTAATGTAGACATTTGTTGCACATATCTAGTGTTAACTGGTCTGAAGAGAGTCTTGGGAACTAATTTTACAGTTCAGTATCGAGGGGACTTTCCATCAATAAGAGAAACCACAACATTATTAGAAATCATCTTCTCTGCTAAAAGACACGTGCAGGAAACATCTCCAAGCTTCTCCTCTTGAGCAATGCTCTCCCCTGCCAGCTTGGGACAATAATCACATCTTCCAGTCACGAGAACAGAAAGTAAAAACAATGAGACTTCAGTTCCAGACATTTTGCTCTTCTGACCATGAATTCAATATAATATTAAATAACCCAGAGACTTCCTTAGTGATCAGAGGAAGGGCAAGGTACAAGACTCACTTTACATACACAAATGTGGAGGCAGATAAAACCAGTACAAGTTTCATGACAAAAGCTGTTTGGGGTTGGGGCTGGAAATATCAGATGTGATACAGCTGATAACATACATGGCTAATGGTTTCCAGGTGGTTGGGTCCAAGTTACCGAGAAAGTTTCACTTACTCTTGTCCTTCACCTCACTGTACTCTGAAAGCCTTCCATGTTAAGCTTAATGTTACACAAAGCTGCCTTCCATGGAAGTGGTACAGTTGTTATAAAGCAAATTATGAAAAATTGAAAGACCAAAAATAAAACGACACATAGTTGTCATTATAGGACAAAAGACTTCAAACACAAAATGCCCCAGCCAGGAGCGGTCAAAAATGTAAGGGGAATATAAACATTTATTTCCTACCATCTCACACTTGTTTCAGCTGTTTTCAAGCACTCATGCTGCAGAACACTACAGCAGCCAAGCTATCCCAGGTACCAGAGAGAGGAACAAGCAAACATCAGTGACAAATGTCTGCCCAAACCCTGGTCACAGCAAGCAGGTGTCAGAGACACTTAAAAACACCTTTCTCAGTTGGTCACCATCACTTGGAACAGTCAAATCCTGCCTTGTCCTGGACTTGACAGCATGCAAAGAGAATGAATGAAAAGTAAACTGCTGTTTCAGTTTGCACCTGCTGAGAAACTTTGGGATTTTAGTTCATTCTCATGAAAACAAGACAATTTACAGGCAATTAATCATGGGCCACTTGGGAGTTTAGAATGAAACAAACAGGGAACACTAATTCTAATTAGATCAAAAGGGCTTCCAGCAATGGGGATGTGGAATAGTAAAAAATTTGGCATTAAGATCAACCCTTAATTTCAAGACCAGTGTAACAAGCCAGCATTAGGACTCTTCCTTTTATGTGCTTCCCAAAACATCCAACCCAACTGCCAGTGCCTAGCCCAACAAGCTGCTCAGAAAGCATTCCTAGTAGGGAAAGCCCACTCTCTAGGATGCAGCAGGGGACTGGCAGAAGGTCTTGATTGAAGGAAGAAGATTGGGAGGTATGTGGAGAAATGGGAAGGAGAGATGGAAGAATTCCAGGGTTCTGCAGGCAATCTGGTTTCTAATAGCTCTCACCTCTTCCATCTCGAAGGACAACCTCCTTTTCATCTGTAATCCAGCGGTAACATGGGAACTCCAGATAGTCACCCACTGGTGTTTTAACAGTGATATACTTAAGGTACCAGTCATCCTGGTACCAGTATTTTCGTTTCTCAATTTTTATTAGCTGAATTTCTCCAAGGTCTTCTTCCACAGTCACATCATAGGAGTCAACCTGCAGAGCAGAATACAGCCAGTGATCCACTGCATATGCAGAAAGCACCACCAGCAGTACCCAGGCATACCTAGCCTTTCTTCACACAGCTTTCCAGCTTCTTGTGGGTGAAAAAAGGAAGTCCTATTATTGGACTGCAGTGCAACAGAAAGATAAAAAAAAGGACAAACAATAACATGCAAAACACTCCAGAAATGGAGAAACATTTTTGGAAGCAACCTAAAAACAATACTACTCCTTGGAATGTGTGCAAGTCTTAGAAAAACATGCAGGCCAATGAAACCATTCACTACTCTCCTAGCAAGAGCTGAAGGAGGTACTGCTAGTATGCATCTACTCATGCAACTGGAGTGGAAAGATGTTAAAAGAGATTAGATCATTGGACTAGGAATTTAGAGACCTTTGTGTGTTAGTTATGTGTGCTTCAGACTACGGACAGTATCCAGATCACCTAAATCCACTTCGTCTTTTGCTTCCTGGTCTTCTTCAGTTCTGCCTTTTTAAAATGAGGACAATGGTACATTTTCTGTTTGTACAGCTAAAATTTGGGCAATTGCACATTTTATGTTTGTAAGGCTCGGATATACAAAGGAATTTAAGTCCAATGTCGCACTCAGAGATATGTACACATAAGATTTAAATTAAAGAGCAATATGAATCGGATCCAAGGAGTTGATGGAAATGTCACATTGGCAGCCAACTTTCAAAAGAAACTCATTCCTCTGGTAACAGCCTACATGCCTATATTACAAGAGCCCTAAAGTAGTTACTGTTGATGTAATGCAAGAAGGACATGCAATTAACCTAAATGATCCTGGAGGGTTTTAATCTTTTTATGACCATCAAAATTCCAATTTTAATGGCAGTTCTGAAAGGGAGGGCTCCCTCCTGGTACCACACACAGCTTCTGCTGCCCCCAAGCCAGCACTGCTATGGGCTCACCTCAGATGACAATTTTGCTAATACAGTAAAGGTGTGTCAGGTTACGGAGAATGTACAAGGTGCAGGTAAGAAGTGACACTTGGCTGCTCAAGGTTTCTATGCCATTTGTTGTATGAGTCCCTTGATAAACACCAGAGTGGCTGTATGGCAAACCAGAGATACAAGGAGCTTTATACAGTTTGAGGCACAGTGAGAGAACAGAAGTAAAGAAGACTATTGCACTGTCCAAACTTCTGTACCACGCTGTTCAAGCAATTTAATCTCATGCAAAACCTGAGTCTCTTTCTGAGGAGAGATTCCTACTGACCATTCTCATATTGGAAAAAGGATGGCACAGACAACTCCTCTTTCTATAAACATAAAGCTCTAAGTGCAAAGAGCTGTTTTACCTTTCTGGAAATACATGTCAGTATTTTTCTTTCAACAAAAGCAAAAAAGCAGATGAAAGGGGAACAGGAAGAAAAGAGAGAACTGAGGGACACCATAAACTTTGAAATCACTCAGCACCAGAGGAATTTACTCAAAAGACACTATGCAAAGAAAAGAAACTATGACTTTCAACATTGCCTGTGTCCAGGGCTTGAAGTCGGAAAAACTACAACTGAGCTATGATTGTGCAAATTCCTTCAGTGTTTTCCACATATTTTTTCCTCAGTCAACATTTGCTATGCAAATCTCCTACTCAGATCTGGCCCATGCCCTCTTTAATCACATCTAGTAATATGCCCAATTTGCAATAATGCAAATGAAGATATTATGAGAATAATGGAACTACAGAGCCTGACCCAACATTTAGGAAAAAAAATCCAAACCTGGAAAGTAGGCAACAACTTGCAAAATAATGTTGCAAAATTCTGCTCATTCACTAAAAATTGATTCTAAACTTGTTTTAGAAAAGGATTAACAATTGAATTCTTTGCAGAAAAAAAATATATAAGATGGTATTGAAAGAAACACTAAAGGCAGAACTGTGAAAACAATTGCTACATTTTGTAAACCAACCAAACTCAAAGTCTTCTGCCCCTCTTCAGTTTTAGTTTTCTGGTTCTGTACTGGTATTTTTCTTTCCTTTTTTCCCTTGCACAACATGTTATTAAGACACAGTGTTTTGGGCACAATGTAACCTGAACAGGTGCCTGGAAAAAGATGCTGCATTCCCCAAGAAAACACCAAACACTCTAAACCAAAACGCAGCACATTGCACTGCAAGTGTCCAGTGAGCCAGACACTTTACAGAACACAGACTTACTCTGATAATAATATATATAAATACATGCAGAAAAACTGACTGCTGCTAACACCCACACCCTCTGTTGCTCCCTCATCTAGTGGATGTATCTCTGCTCCTGCTGGATCTGGTCCCACAGCAGCTCCCCAGCTGCTGCTGAGCAGACACTGAATGCTCCCATCATGGCATTTTCTCCCTGTGACAGGATCCAGCCCAACAGAATGCTCAGAGTAGTGCCAGGCCTTCCATCAGAGCCACCCTCCTTCAACCTCTCTTGCTAATGTTGTCCAGTTTTGCCTAAAGTATGTGACTATTCAGCAGATAAGAGAGAAACAATGACTGGATGTCCACTGGGGAGATTCAGGTAACAAGGTCCTAAGCTAATGAATGTTAATCATGAAAGAAAATTAACTTCAGTAGCAGTGGCTGGTAAATATCTGAGGGAACACAATCGCACATGCCATCAACACCTACTCAAAATGCTGACTTCTGTTAAGTGTGTCCATGATGTTTAACACAGAAGAGACCATGGACCTAATTCAGGCTGGGAACCACATGGTTGAAAAAACACACCTCAAGGCAAAGCAGCACCATGACACTGAAGACTCACTTGTAGATGTGGTGGTAGGTCTAACTTCCAAACTTCTGAATATCTTTTTAAAACTTTCAAAGTTGTTTCTATTTCATCAGACCTTCTAGAAATTGTGAATTTGGTTTCCAGGTAAAATACACATTTTAGAAAGGAGGGGAAAAAAAAGTGTCTTATTTCCAGAGTGGACAATAAGCAAATAAATAAATGCCATTCTAAACCAATGGTCATTGGTATAAGCAATAAGAGTATAAGCAATTACATTTGGATAGTTAAAACACAGTAACAGGACCACAGAGAGTACAAGGCATAGCTAACAGCAGAAATCTGGGCTAAGAAGAACACAGCTGACAGCCCAGCCACTTCATTTTCACACATTCATGCTGTTTTTCAACTTTCATTGACGTTGCTCTACACATTTCTCTTGGCAGGCATTGTAATTCCCACTAGATGCCCTTACCTCTTTGTTTAATTCTCTGGAGATAACAGGGCTCTGACTATCAGTAAATACTGACCCTAAACATCACCTATCAACAGGAAACACACTATTATTTTTTAATATTTGTAAAGAAAGTGCGAGGAGATCTGAAAGCCCATGGTAAGTCAGAACCAAAGAGCCCCATCTTTCCCAAGGTCTGACTGACCACAGCCGGGGATAACTCCTAGGGCAGGGATGCGGATGGGCGGCCGGGGAGGCAGCGGGTACCTCAGCCTCGGTGTCCCGCTCCGGAGCACCGGCACACGGAGACAAGCGCTTAAAGAAAGCCCAGCCCTGCCCTGCCCCTCCGGGACAGGGGCGGCCGAGGTGCCGCTGCTGCTGCCCCGTCCGCGGTGCGGGCCGGGCCCGGCGGGGGAAGGCGGCGGGGGCCGCGGTGCGGGCCCGCAGCGCCCGCGGCACTCACCGCGCCGCGCTCGAAGTCATTGTAGAAGGGCTTGTCCAGGAGGTGCCTCTCGCTGCAGCCGTCCGTGCCCTGCAGGGTCAAGTACACGTAGTCGTCGGTGCCCGCGAACCACTGGCTGCCCGTGGCCACCGTGACGGTGTAGGACGGCATGGTCCCCGCGGCTCGGCTCGGCACGGCCCCACGGGAGCTGCTGAGCCGCGCTCCTGCCTTCTTCACCCGGACCCTGCCCAGCGCCGCCGCCTCCTCTGCCACCGCACAGGGCGGCCCGGCGCTGCCCGCCCCTTCCCCGGCCCGGCCCGGCACACCTTCCCCATCCCGCCTCTGCTGCACCTCCGGCCCGGCCCCCTGCCCTGGCACAGCACCCCTCACCCGCAATTCCAGCCCTGCCCCGAGCCCCTGTCCGGGCACAGCTGCCCTTCACCCGGAATTCCAGCCCTGCCCCGAGCCTCTGTCCTGGCACAGCACCCCCTCATCCAGAATTCCAGCCCTGCCCCGATCTCCCGTCCTGGCACAGCAGCCCCTCACCCGGAATTCCAGCCCTGCCCTGCAGCCCTCACTCAGCCCTCTCCGCGCACCTGCCCTCCCGCTGTGCCCAGCTCCCCGGCAGCACGATTTACACAGCCCTCCACGTTCTACTTTCCTCTTGACAACCTTCCACAGTTTCACAACGCTACACAGCATCCACGACTCTCGGCTCTGCAGCACAGTGCTCCACAGTATTCCTGATCCTGCCAGGCACAGCTGATGTTGGCACAGCCCTGTGTGCCTCACCACCTCTACATTTACAGGATTTCATCTTAAACTGCTCTGCATTCTGTAACCTCAACTCCAAACCACCCCAATGTGCAGGCACACATGCTCTTTCTTCTGTGTGCTCCTTACACTCACGCTACACTGACACAACACACTACACACTGCAAATATCCCACTCTCTTCATCATCCAAAGTTACTCTATCATAGCACCAAAGAATCGTTAAGCTTGGAAAAGACCTCTAAGATCATCAAGTCCACTGAAGTTCATCATTAAACCATGTCCTTAAGTGCCATAACCACAGGTTTTTTGAACTCTCCCAGGGATGGTGAGTCACACCATAATGCATCCTCATTCTATACACCAAATGTACAAATCTGTGTACAGCTCACACTTTTCCTCAGGGAAAAGTGTAAACTACAGGACCCCTGTATGTGCCCATGCTTTATTCCCCGTATTCCTCTGAGCTTTTGAAACACCCTGCTGCCTTTGTATTACTGTGTGTAGCACCAAATGCCAGCATGTCTGCAGATCAGAACTGGACATAACAACCAGTTCCCCATTTGCAGAAAGCCCTCTAAACATCC